TTTTTTTTTGAATCTAGTTTCTTATCTGTGATAAACTATCTTTTGAAGCTCTAACTGTGGGGTCTGAGTGCTGAGCCCCACCAGAATGCCAATGGTCCTGACCCTTGACATCCATGTCAGCTTGACGCAGGGCCACTCTGGCAGCCCGTTCTGCATTGAGTTCCTTATCACTGGGGATCAAATTCCCGGAACTTCCAGTAAGTCATCTCTTGGCCGAGGGCCCAGGCACGCTTGGCTTTACCACAGTCCAGGGTCTGTCTGACACAGGCTTTCTGTCCACATTGCCAAGGACCTGGTCAAGGCTACAGTGAGCCCCCTCTGTGGATTTGTTTCCAGAGAAGTGAAATTCCCCTCTGTGGTTTAAAGCGGACACTCACTTGCTGGGCGATCCTGACAAATCATTCCTGGTGGCTGTCTCAGGCACCTCTTCTGTAAAGCAGGGGATCTGGAGAAGCCCTTGCACTGTGTGATCCTGTGTCAAAATGTGTAGACTTGCAAGTGTGCTGAAGAGAACCACATGTAAATGAAATATGAATAATGTAGGCTTTTCTTTTTGAACTTCATGAATCTGACAGTAAAAGGAATACGTTGACAGTCCTAAGCCACACAAGTAGGGTGTGACAGGCATTTATTTACCTCTTACTATACGACAGACATGGTGTGAAGCACTTTCCCCTAGGAAAGCCACTTGCCATCTTGACTCTGACTCACGAAGATAGGATGTGTGGTAGAGAACTGTGCCCACAGGGCTTCCAGCGACTGGTTTTTCAGAAGTTCACCAGGTCTTTCCTCCAAGACACCTGTGGGTAGACTTGACCCTCCATCCTTTCCAGTAGAAGTTAAATGCATTGACTCTTGACACCACGCGAGGACTTCTCCCCAATCTCAGCTCATTTAACCCTCACCGTTTCACCGAGCTTCAGTGAGGGTCCATGCAGTGTCCTTCAGTTGAGTATCTGGCTCTGTGCTCCTAGGCTCTGGGAAGGAAGACAGAGTCTAGGGGAGAGCCCTGTCTATGTTCTCAACCAACAGACACAGCCCATCCATGAGCTGCTGCGGCACACCAACCTGGGTCCCCTAGAGGCCAAACGTCAGAACTTGCGCCAGGCCTTGGACCAGTACCTGCTGGAGTTCAATACCTGCCGCTGTGGACCCTGCTTCAACAATGGGGAGCCCATCCTCAAGGGCACCAGTTGTGTGTGTCAGTGCCCCCAGGGTCGCCGGGGCCCTGCCTGTGAGCAAATGGAGCAACAGGGTAAGACTCGAGCCTTCTCTCTCAAGCTCGATCCTGGCCCAGCCCAAAGGGGAAATATGAAAATGTGGTCTTTGGCACCCCCAGCCTGTCCTTCCTGGGCATCCCATCCACTCCCTTGGGAGCCTGCACACTGAACCCTCCAGGTGACCCTACATTGAATGGTTCTAATGGGTTCTCCCAGTCATCAGACACCTCTCACCAAGATGGGAATTGTTTCTCTCCAACATTTATATAGCCAATACGATTTATTTCTGGAGGTATAAGAAGGGGTCAACATAGTGTCAAAGGTTATATGAGTAAGCAAGACTGGGGAGAGTAAGGCTTAATTACACAGAGCTTCAAAATCAACTAATTGGCAGCAGGAAGGACAGTTATAAACAAGGGTTAAAAAGCCATATCTCACAGATAAAGAGTCTGTCTGGGGCCTAGATATGAATCCCAGCTATTTCACTACCACATTGAGAGACCCCGGAGCATCGCTCTTTCTTTGGGGTTCAGTTTTCTCCTCTCAGTCTCCTTTGGGCTCAAATAATTTCAATATAGGTTCACATTCCTAAGCACCTAATTTTCTAGGCACACAAAGCTGTTTGCATGCCTTGTGTATTCCACTGCATGGAATGGTGGGAAAACAGAAAAGCTACCCAATCAACATATGAATCAACATTAATTTACTGTTGTCACTATGAGGACAATGGAAAGGAAGGAGGCACAGAAAGCCAAGGTGGGCTGGGTCGATTTCAGGTCCTCCATTTTGGTCCATTAAAACAAAAAGAACTCTTGAAGCACAGGTAGATGGTGTGGGAGGCATGTGGTATTCACCAGATTTCTTAGTGACAGCTCATGCGGCAGGGATCAGGAGTGTAATACTTGTGTAGATGCCTCAAGATGAAGGGCTAGATTAACAGAAATAAAGACCCTAGAACAAGATTATTCTCTGATTTAGGAGGAAAGTTGAGTTGGGTCCTAGTGCCATGTTGCATCAGGCAATTGGCAAACAGAAATGGGTAACCAAGATGAGTTGAGAAACTCAAGCCTATGTCCCAAGAGAAAGACTGGAAGCATTGGGAACTTGGGGCACTGAGAAGAGAGAGAACTCAGATGGGGTGAGTTTGACAGGAGCTATCACGAAGATGAAAACATGATTTGTTTTGTGTGGACACAGAGATCGAGCTGTAGGACGAATGGAGAGCAGCGGTAGAAAAGGAATTTTTGGTGGAACAAGAAAGGACTTTCTTCTCACTATCGTATGAGGATGGGAGGGTGAAGAGAGTATCCCATGACCACTTGCCAGGACGTTGTATATGATATTCAGTGGATGGGCCAGTAAGATCGTCTCCAGGTCCCATCCACCCGGAGCTTCTGAGCCCATGACCTAAACCAGAGGAACACAGCACGAAGAGTTAGTAGCTTGGATCTTAAATGTTTACATCACCTTAGAGACTAGTAGAAACTGTGAGGCTCCGGCTCTTAGTCACCTTCTGGTCTGGAAATGAACTCACCCCCATGGGAAACAATAGACAGGTCTAGAAAGGAAACTGTAAAACGAAGGGGCAGGCACAACTTGAAATTGTCAATTACGTGAGCTCAAAAGGGTGAAATTTACCCAAAGACAAAATTCAGAAGGGTTAGAACAGAAGGAGGAAGGGAAACTGGAAACAGGGAGGCCCTGGGCTAAGTGATGTCCCACTGTGAGGATTGCAATCAGGGAGATGAAACAACATGCGTATGAATTGTGGAATGGAAAACTGATCTGCTCTGTAAATCCTCACACTTTTCACAGTGGAAAAAAAAGCTTTAAAAGCATCTTTAATTCACAGATACCAAGTCTATTGGTTTCAAGGACAAGCTCCACTAACAGGCTTGACTTTCAAAGACAGTGGTAGGTCATTACAGCCTCCCTGGGAGAACAGTTCTAAATAGCTCTGGTGTCAAACAGGGCCTTCCCTCTCCGTTCTGTCTATTTTCATCATGGGCATACCCTATAAAGTGGGGAGGCAGCATTTCCTTCTTCGCAGGTACTGTATTGATGATGAAACTAGTTCACTCGTGTGGCAGGGCTTACTCTAATAAGCAAGAGGGAGAGATACATCTACGGTATTCCACTGGGTGAGGATCTGCTTTGGGTTAGCACTTAAATTCCTCCTTGCTAGTACAAGGATGTACAAGTTGGCTCCCAATAAGCTTCCTGATATCCTATAGGAGGACTTTTGATAGGGGTGAGTCAACACCGGAGTCCTTACGAAGGAAGATGCTGAGAGTGAATACTAGTCTACGGGGACCAAGACTGCCCTGTGAGTTGGCAAAAGATGCTCCCCTAACAGTAGATCAGTTTGAGGGGAAGGCTCCTCTGAGGATATACAGCCCAGTGCCAAAGCCAAGTAGAGTGCGGAGTAGGTTTCAACTCCCTCTTGTCTCATCAGTGAGATATCTCTGCCAAAAGGAGCAAGATCGCTGAGCAGAATTTGAACCCAGAACATTTGATGCCAAAACCTAAGCTCTTAATCATTGCAGTCTATTCATTTGCATTCTTAAATAGATACAAGGGTCATAAACAGCTTGGGAATTGGAGCGGTTGTCATTTGGGAGAGTGGGGAAGAGAGCATTCATTTTCAGCTGGTGGTAATTGGCTTAGGCGGACTTAAAGACAATGAGAAAGAGTTGTCCCTAGTTCAAGGTTATTAGCTGAGTCCATCTCCAAGGGATAGATGTGAAGCCTGCCTGAAAAATTATAACTAAAGCTCTCCAAATACCCTCAGAGCCAAGACTTGCTGGGATTCTGTTCCACACAGCATAGAGACAGAGAGAACAGAGAATGTGGGATACATGGAAACACTTCCTAAGTGGTCCGATACCAGGCTCAGTGGTGGCCATGCTGTGTCACATCCACACATAGTGGGTAGTTAAGAAGGAAGGATGCTAGTGAAAGGGGAACAGGGGCAGGGGACAGAGGACCGGGTCTCCTTCTTGCAGCCCATTTTCTCCAGCAAGATGACATCCAGGCAGGCAGCAGCTCACAATATCCCATCAACCTTCTCCAGGCAGCCTGGGGTTAGCAGGTGGCCTCGGGGCTATCACATTGAACTTTCAGCCTGATAGGAGATCATGTTGGCAAAAAGGGGGAAATAAACTAAGGCTGGGAGTTCCTCAGCCACCAGGAGGACCCATTAACGTGAGTCCCCAGGTGGATTTGCAGCAAACCTTTGCCTGTGGGGACCAGAGTCAGAGGTGGGGGAGATGGAGACAGAGAATCCTGCTGTGGTTACCCATCAGGGAGTATAATTACAGAGTTGGAAGGGGCTGGGAGATAACCTAATCCAATGATGCTCACACTGCGATCTGAGCGGCCTAGAGGTCTCAGGGACTGCCCCAGGGGGAAGGGTGCGACTGATAAGCAGCCCATCTTCAAATAAAACAGACCTTCTTTCATCTGACTTTAATGTTGGGGTCCATGTCGGATTTCATTTTGGGGGAAAAGGAGTGATTAAACAAATAATTAAATGTTTGGATTAGTCCATCCTTCTCATTTCGTAGAAGCGAAAATTCAGACTCAGAAAGGAGATGAGGTTCCCTGGCGTCACAGAGCCTGTAAGGGGAGGGGGTGCAGTAGCCAGGTTCCAGGGACACTCCACGGTCAGCATCTGTGGTCTCGCCTTCTGTTGTTCTTTTCAGGGAATCTCACCGGAGCCCGATACCAGAGTCTGAAGGAGTTCAGTTTCCCAATCTTCACACAAATGCCCAGTAGTCTCTCCACAGAGGTGTCTGCTCCCCTCTTTCCTCCAATTCCTAGCCAGGCAGGGCCCCTGCTCTTGACACCTTCCAGCAGCTCCGTGTCGCTCTTCCCAGGGGGCCTGCCTCCACGCAGTCCTGTGTTATCCATCTTCCATTGAGCTGCAGGTTCTAATATTATGAAACATGCTGCCAGTGGCCTCTTCTTACTTCATTCAGATTAAGTGCAAGGCGGCGAGCGCAGAGGCAGTCCACAAAGATGGATTGTAGACCACTGGAGGGCAAGGAGAGGGCTTACCCCGGTACATTCCACGACGTTCATTCCTTGTATGCTTCCTCCTCTTCCTTGTAAAAGCTAACTTTCTCCTCTCCTGGGTCATGGTCTCTGCAGGAGTCAAGGCAGATGGCTGGTGGAGCTGCTGGAGCGCCTGGTCTGGGTGCAGAGCAGGCACCCAGGAAAGGAGGAGGGAGTGCAACAACCCCGGCCCGAAGAATGGAGGTGCCCAATGCCCAGGGTGGAAAGTGCAGACCCAGGCATGCTGAGGACCTGCAGGGACAGGCCAGGACAGACACAGCAGGTGTCAACGCCTGCACTAGCCACTGCCTAAAGACCTCTTTGGGAAGAAAGAACATGCTAACAGTAGAGAGGTTTTTCTTTATCCTCTCTGCCCCCAGGCTTACAAACCAGCTAAGCCATCTACAGCGAACCATTCCATAAGGCACAAAACAGCCATTCATTCAACCACGCGATGTGGAGTGCTCCCTGGATGGTCCTGCTCTGGGTGCTTCGGAGCAACTAAAAGAAGTGAGGAGCAAACTTGATCCTGGTCTTAGGAGAACTTGTAGTCTGTCCAAGAGAAAAGGCGGTGGACACTTGTGAAACAATCAATACTCAATAAAGCAAGGTCTGATGAGAATCGTCTTCGTTCTTCATCGATAGTAGGATCTGTTTATTCTTAGGGCTATTATTAATTGGCAGGATAAGACCAACTCAAACCAAACCCGGTGCCACTGAGTTGATTCTGACTTATATAATAAGAGAGTAGAATTGCTCTATAGGTTTATAAAGTGGCAAATCTTCAATAAAGTAGGCTGCCTTGTCTTTCTCCTATAAAGTAGAGGGGAGGTTCAAACCATCAGCCTTACAGTTAGCAGCCACGCCCTTATCCCCTGCGTCAACAGGACGTCTAGACTGAGACACACAAATGAAAATAAAGATTGACTTGCTTCCTTCTGTTTCTCTTCATTGGAACCAAACTTTCCCCCCGCCTATTCTTTCTATTGATTTCGCTTGTTTGTTTGCATTCATAAATCAAGGGTAATTTTCTCATTATATATTTTTTAACTTTTACAATACATTTTAATATTCACAATAGTTAAATATATAGGTATAAACCTATAAATATATAGGTTTAATATTCACAATAGTTAAAATATAAAAGCATGGTTGATATGTATATTTTAAAGAATGGTATTAGAACAAACACTCATGTACTGATGAATTTAAACAAGAACATTGCCAGTATCTCTGTGGTCCCTTATTTAGTTTCTCTCCCTCATAATAGACTCCTCCTTCCCCCTGAAGTTCCCCTTTGTCCATCCTGCGATTTGGGCTCAGCATTCTCCTCACACACCGCTACACATGTGTGTGTAGATATGTGATGTTGGAGCTGTAAACAATATATTATTTAGTTTTGTCTGCTTTTGAAACTTTTATATAAATATGATCATCCTAAAATAATTTTCTATTACTTTTTCCACTTCAAATTATAGTTTTGAGCATCATCCATATTGATAGATGCCTAGCGATAGATCACTCATTCCCCCTACATGATAGTCTTCATGAGAGTCCTGGACGTGCGGTGGTTGCACGTTGGGATGCTCACTGCAAGGTCAGCAGTCAACACTCTCCTTCTGCAAGGGAGAAAGAAGAGACTTTCAACTCCAAGAAAAAGTTAGTCTCAAACCCACCGGGGCCGTTCTCCCCCATCACTTTTGGTATAGTGTTCATATTCTGAGCCTAAGACAATTCATTCACTCTGTTATTGATGGAAACTTGGGTTGTTTATAGTGTTTCATCCTTCAAATGCTCCTAAGAACATTATTTTATCCATCTCCAATGTACATATGCAAGAACTGCTCCAAGAATGGGATTGTGTATAGATGCATGTCCATACTTCATAGCTGTATTGGTTTCTTTTGTTTTTAACATTTTATTGGGAGCTCTTACAGATATTATTACAATCCATAGTTCCATGAGATCAAACAAATTGTATAATTGCTGCCCTCATCATTTTCTTTTTCTTTTTTTATTAAATAATTTTATTGAGGGCTCTTACATCTCTTATGAGAATCCATACACTCATCCAGCGTGTCAAGCACATTTGCACGTATGCTGCCATCATCATTTTCAAAGCATTTTCTTTCTACTTGAGCCCTTGAAATCACCTCCTCATTTCTCCCCCTCCCACTTTCCCTCATGAACCCTTGATAAGTTATAGATCATTATATTCTTATCTTGCATCATCCTCTGTTGCCCTTAACTCACTTTCTGTTGTTCATCCCCCTGGGAGGGGGTTATATGTTGATCCTTGCGATCCATTCTCCCTTTTCTCATTAATTTTTTCATGGCACTCTATTCTTACCCTTCCTCACATGTTTCATAATTAATCATGATCCATTGTGATTATTATTTATGCAATGATTTAGTATAGCACGACTCAAGGGAGGGTCATCATAAAGGCAATGACAGATGAGGTTTCTTCTGCACAGTATCCCCAGAGGCCAACACAGCACGGAGTATGGTAAGGAGCCAGCGGAGCCTCCGTTGATCAGGTAAGTGAATGAATCCAAGAGCATAGCCATCAGCTGAGGGAGCACCTGAACTTCTCTGACTTCAAAAGAGGGCAAGAGAACCAAACTCACCAGAAGGCCAAGGCCAATTCCTGTGAGGCAGTGATCCAACAGGCTTCCGCCCTCCCACCTTCTTTACCAATTCTGACGCCAACATCTCTCCCAGGGCTTTCGGCTTTGTTGTTGGGTTTATGAACTCAAAGACCATATTCATGATTGTGGGGTTTCTTTGGGAAAGACCTGATTATAATTAAGCTCAGGATACATTTCTTGGTCAGGAGCACCTCCTCTCAGCCATGCACCCAGCATACCCTGACACTCGGGTCTAATGACCCGCTTCTCCCAAACTCGCTGCCATCAAATGGACGCTGACTCATCCGGACCCTGCTGTGGGTTTCCGAGACTGTAACTGTTTGCAGGAATAGAAAGCTCAGTCTTTCTCCTGCAGAGCTGCTGGTGGTTTTGAACTGCTGACCATGCAGATCACAGCCCAACGCATAACCACTGCACCGTCAGAGTGCTTGTGGCCTGTTTGGGCAAGTATTACAAAGCCCAGTAGAGCCATACAAGTAATTCACTACAGTGCAGAATCACCTCAAAAATTTAAGGTCCATATTGCTCAACCTTCCATAGTGGAGGCCCAGCCCTGGATCAATCACACCATCTGACCCTAATAACCTTACGACACTCCAGTCATGCCTCAAATAGAGAAGAGTTCGCATTGCATGGGGTGTTCTATTGATGTAGCAGTTCCTCTGTTAGACTGTGAGCTTCTTAAAGACAAACTAGTATTCCCCAAACCAAACCCCAAATCCTACCATAGTGTCGATGCTGGCTCACAATGACCCTATAGGGCAGGGAAGAATTTCCCCCTATGATTGTCTGAGACTGTAATTCTTTATAGGGGTAGAAAACTCTGTCTTTCTCCCAAGAAGAAGCTGGTAATTTTGAATGCAGATCTTGCAATTAGCAGCCCAACACATAACCTCTACACCACCAGAGCTCCTAATATAGACTAGGAAGGTTCTCAACCTTCCTAATGCCATGAGATAGTTTTATTGTGCCAGCCTGGCTGATAAACGCAAGTGGGATTAACTGAAGGACAGAGAGATAAATGGCTTGGTGAGTCTCACCTTTCTTGTCTCTCGCTCTTTGATCATCGCACCAGTGTGCAGCTGCCTTACTTGTCCTGTGCCTCAATTTAAAGGCTACATTACCTGTGGGACGCCTAGCCTGTGGACTGTGTCACTGTAAGTTGGGGTCCCTTTAAGACATCACTGGAGCTGGGGACTGGCAGTTGGTGACCTGGCTGGCAGTTGGTGACCTGCCTTCTGATTGGCTGCTGTGCTGACATAGCCTGGCTCTCTCTATAAATAGAGGAAGATCTGGCAGCAGACTGGACTTGAAGGACTACTGGTCTCTCACAAGTCTCTCACAGGAGTGAGTTGAATTGAGCCATTTGTAGTGCTTTATAATTTAACTGTTTCTTTCTTGTATTATATATTTATCTGTATATGATTTAACAGTTCATTTCTTGTTCTATATCTAATTGTCTTTATAAATAAATATATTAAATTATCAGCAATTTGGTTTTATCTCTCTAGAGAACCCTGTCTAACACATGTCATGACCCTTTCATACAGTGCCTCATGTTGTGGTGACCTCTCACCCCCTACCATAAGATTATTTTCATTGCTACCTACTTCATAACTGTAATTTTTCTACTGTTGGGTGACCCCTATGATAGGGTCCTTGGACCCCCAAAGGGGTTGTGACCCATAGGTTGAGGACTGCTGTACTAGATAATCAAAAGGCAATGTCATTTTTCCATGGACATTTGAAGCCCCCTTGTACTGGTCCACAGACTTTTCTTGAATGTGTATTACATGCTCAAGAAATGTATGTTGACCAATACAAGGGAGCTTAAAACACTCATGGAAAAATTCCACTATATTTTAATTCAATCCTTCCATACTCCTCCACCATGTTAGAGTAGTGTTAAGACTTATGTGTACATGAAACAATTGTAGGAGATTTTAGGGCCAGAAAGGATTAATTGCTACATTAATGCCCAAACATGGGACACACAAATACAGTGCTGACTGAGTCCAGGTAGAAGAGAGATTTACCTGTCACTGAGTGAGGATTTCATGGATAGTATGAGGCTGAAAATTTTTTGTTTATTTTTTTCAATAGGGAAAGATGGTTGAGGACACATTGGGAGAAAATACAGCATGAGACAACGTTTGAAGGTGGGAAAGTATATTGTGTGTGCAGGTGTGAATGTGTTGGGGATGGGGAGGAGGGGAGAGCGAGAATATGAGTGAAATAAGCTATATAAAACACTTTCTATAATGCCCGGTGCATATTGAGTTATTATAAGCCAGTAAAATAAACTTTTGTGCAGTCAGTTCTACCTCTAGGCAATTCCATATGACAGAATAGGACTGAGTGCCATGGGGTTTCCAATGGCTGATCGGGGAAGTCGATGATGAAACATTTTTTCAAAGGTGCCTCTGGGTGGACTCGAACCTCCAACCTTTTGGATCACAGCTCACCATGTTAGCCATTTACTCTAGCCAGAGATTCCTGAATTATTTACATCACCCTTATTACTTTAATGTTAATTACTGCATAAAATTCACAAGCATTTATTTCCGAACTCTTTAGCATTTCCTCAACTGGAAGAAGAAAAAAACGCTCTTACTGCTTCTCATTCTGTCATTAAATTATTTTTCCTTTTTTGGAGCTGATTTATTTTAGCAATTAATTTTCGTTTATTATATACATGTTAGAAAATGTCCAGAGACCATGTTGGCCATGCCACGTGGGCAATTCACAGAGAAGATTCCATCGTGATCTCTAGCAGCAGCTTTCAACTTGAGTTGTCAGTTCAAATCACCTGGGGAGTTTTAAAAACCCAGAGGCTGAGCCCCAGACCAATTACATCAGAATCTCAGGGGTTAGGAGCTAGGCCTCATCAGCTTTAAATGCTCCCCTGTGATTCTAAGTACAGCCCAAGTTGAGAACCCCAGAGAGTCCCGGAGTTACTGTATGTTCAAGG